TGTGGTCTTCATCCTCACTTGAACACTTGGGCCAAATACAGGAAATACGTCATACAAGTGTTCAAGTGGTCAAGTGCAAAGACCGCAAGTGTGGGTATTTGGACAAGGCACAACCCTAGCTCCAACCCTAATTAAACACACCTGAACCAGCTAATCAAGGTCTTCAAAGTGTTTCCAGGCAGGTAGGTGTGTTGGAGCTGAATGAAGCTACACTCTGCAGGACACTGGCCTTCCAGGAGCAGAGTTTGACGTGTGGCAGAGGCTTGGAAAAAGAAACAGTATTATTGGAAAAGGTCTATAAAAGATCATGCCTGAGGCTCACTTCTAATACTTTAAATTGACATATGATTTAACAGTAAAGTGTGTACAAGTTAGTTAGAAATGGTCTCTTTGTTGTTTAATCTGACACAGAGTCAGTTCAGAATCATAAACCCCAAATCCAGCATAGAGGGGTTCAGTGAATGTGGTGTTGAATGTGTGTAAGTGTGTGTGTGTCAGAGACGTTGTAGAAGGACAGAGTGCCAGCAGAACAGTCCAGATACACTCCTACTCTATTAGACAGGGGTGAAGGGGCCGGTAAGTCAAATCGCTTTTTATTGTGCCAGATAGTGTATTTGCTATCAGAGCAGTCCAGACACCAGGATTCGTCATTGTATCCAAACCTACAGTCACTCCCACCTCTCCTTTTGATTCCTTTATATGTCACTGCTGCATGAGGCCATCCACTCCATTCAGCCTCCCAGTAACAGTGTCCAGTCAGACTCTCTCCACAAAAAACCCGCTCACCACCAACAAATCTCTCTGGATGATCAGGATACGGCTGATGATCTTTCACATATGTTGCCCTTCTGTTGTGCTCGGACAGAACAATGTAATTGTTTGCTGTGTTTGGATCCAGTGTGAGATCACAGGCATCTGAACACAAGATGAGAGATGAGAAGTGTGTCAATGCTGGATAACTTTTGGATAAAAAAACATTGTACTTCTTGCCTTTTCCTTACTATTGTTATTATATCAAACGTTTTGTGTGTATAAATAGCTGATAGCAAATCACCGGTTGCCCAACATTTCACAGAGTGTAAATTAATATTACCAATGTTTTGGCTATGTTAAGCCTTTTTACCATGGCAATGAAGCTATATAGCTCACAACATTATACATGTGTCAAAGACAGAGTGAAAAACAGGACCTACATTTTCTCAGCCCTGGAGTGATTCTAAAAGGATCTCCATGGTCCAAGCTAGAAAGAGAGAAATATAAACCACAAATTATAGTTTGATTAACTAGAAGGTGTGCAATAAATACAGATAATATGACTATCAACCGGAGATCCATCCTAACATATCCAAACTCATGCCATC